CTTGCAGTCAGAGGGCACTCAAGGAGGTACAAGACCTACTGTTCTGCCAAACCCAGTGGGGAAGGGAGGCCCCTGGCGGGGGGGGGGGGGCAGAGGCAGGGACCCAAATGGGCTGAAAGGCCAGGCTTTGAACTTGGTTCTTATGGGAGCCATCAATGATCCTCAGCAAGAGGATGGCAAGGGGAGGTTGAGGTTGAGAGTGAGCACTCCGGCGGTCCATGGACCAGAGAGAGGCAGAGGTGGGAGATGCTGGGGCCCACACCGGGCAGGGGCTACAGGGTGCAGAGGAGGGGACTCTGGGGCTGGCTGAATGATCTCCAGCAGGGGACAGGCTTGGTTCCTGGGGAAGACGTCTGGGCTGCAGTTCCTCAGGCCCAGGGTTGAAGGAGGCAGAAGGAGGGAGGTGTGTGCAACTTTACAGCCAGGGGTCACTCAGCACCTCCCTGGATGCTGACCCTTCACCTACCAGATGGCAAACATGGAACACCCAGGGGTCCGTGAAGGAGAGGCTGTGGGGACAGATACTCACACACCCAACGGTAGCACTGATGGGCAGGGTTGCAAACGTGGCATCTTCGTATTTAAAATATATGTATTTATATGTTTTTTATTTATTTATGTGACAGAGAGAGAGCACAAGCAAGAGGAGCAGCAGAGAGATAGCAGCAGACTCTCACAGAGCAGGGAGCCTGACATGGGGCTCAATCCCAGGACCCCAGGATCATGACCTGAGGTGAAGGCAGATGCTTCACCAACTGAGCCACCCAGGTGTCCCTAAAAATATATACTTCTACACTTTCTCTAAGCAATTTCTAGAATGACAATCTTGTGGGGGGGTTGTTTTTAAAGATTTTATTTATTTATTAGAGAGAGAGAGAGACAGGCAGAGACACAGACAGAGAGAGAAGCAGGCTCCATGCAGGGAGCCTGACATGGGACTCAATCCCAGGTCTCCAGGATCACACGCTGGGCTGAAGGCAGCACTAAACCGCTAAGCCACTGGGGCTGCCCCAGAATGACAATCTTGTAAAGCATGTGCCTGTTCCTGCAGACACACACAATGTTTACTGTAGCATTTTTTAGTAATACAAAAAAAGTGTTTTTAAAAGGAAACAATCAAATATTCCTCATTCGTAGATTGGCTACCAAAGCTATGCCCATCAAGCCCTTACAAAGAGTGGGGGATCCAGAGTCAGGACTCTTGGATGTTTATGTGCCAGGAGTCATCCTGGAGGCCGCTGAACGTAGATTCTGACCCTGTGGGTCTGAGGAGAACCCATGATACTACATTCCCAACCTGCCTCTGGTAATGCTGCTGCCAGGCCCCAGGCCACCAACACAGTGGGGGGGGGGGACCCTAAGCTGTATCTATCATTTATTGCAAAACAATAGATCCTTTTGGTAAAACAAATAAAATAATAATCCTAATGAAAGTTAGTATATACATTATCCGGAAGGATATGCATTTCTGGCAAGAAGAGCGTATGGCAGACTTGCCCCTTTTACATTACATATGAAACTATAATGGTGACATTTCTTATGGTGAGCATGAATTACTTTGCATCAGGAAAAAATTTTTATCAAGAAATTGCTGCATTGAAACAAAAAAAAGTTTGTGAGCCTCGTTGTTATAGACAGAATATTTGTGTGCCCCCCAAATTCATGTGTTCGAGTCCTCATTCCAAGTGTGATGGTGTCTGGAGCTGGGACCCAGGGAGGTGAGTAGGGCAGGAGGGTGGAGCCCCACGGTGGGATCAGCGCTTTCACAGAAGGGACCCCCAGCTCCCTCGCCCTTCCTCCAAGTGAGGATGGGAGAGAAGATGCCGTCTGTAGACCAGGTGCTGAACCTGCAGCACCCCCACCTCGGCCCTCCAGCCCCTACGTCTGTGAGAGATCAAGGTCTGCTGGTTCAGCCTCCAACTGTGCTGCTGTTACAGTCAGACCAAGACACTGAGCTCAAGGCTACGCTTTAGATTGTATATCATATTACTCTTAATAGATCACTCACGCTATTATATTTTAAAAGCTGTCAGGCAAACCCCCAACTTTCAGTTTTTTCCAGGCTGGGGACACGTGTGCAATGCAGCGGCCTTGTGTCTGCCCATCAATTCCGACGCACCTTTGCCAGTCCCGCAGGCAGCGGGGTGAGCTTCCCAGAATGCAGATCTGTTTAGGTGCCCCCCAGCTGTTTAGGTCACCCCCGACGATCTTACCCACTCCTCCACCTAACACAACTCACTGGTTTCCTTCGCTCCCAGGATTAGACCGCAACACGGGGTGGCCAAACCTGCCACACCTGGCCCCCACCCGCCCCCCAGCTTGTATTCTGCATGCGCACACCCGTGAGCACACAGACCAGCCCTTGCTCTACTGCAGGCTGTGGACCATTGGTGGCATCAGCCCCTGGGTTGTTAATGGACTGTCTTATGCTTGTCTCCCTTGTCCTGGCAACAGGACATGAAGTCTCTTATTTCCCCAGCCCCAGCTGCTCTCACTAGGGAAACAGAACTTCCTCCTCACCACCTGCCTGAATCTCTGGCCAGGGCGGCTCTGGCAGTTTGCAAGCTGGAGACGCATCCAGATGAGGTGTAGCCCGAATACATGTCGAAGGCCTCCATCACTTTAGGATTTCAGGGCTGAAATATACCCCCAAGATTTATCCACATCAACCCCTCACCGAAGTCGCGGCTTCAGAGCACAGCAAACTCTGCCCTACGGAAGCCAGAACCTGTGCAAGCGGTCTGGGTGCTGCCAGTCCAGGGCGCAGAACGATCCACAAATGCCAGAGGACCTGGGGGGTTGCAGATGTTTGCAGAGCTGTTGCTATGTGCCAAACCCCTTCTAAGAACTTTGCAGTAGTGAATACATTGAGTTCATATGGTTCCTATCAAAAGGGGCTAGAAACAAGGGGCTCTGGCCCCTTCTCCCTGGTGAGTATCAGAGAAAATACTCAAGGAGAGGGAAGCATGGAGCCCAGGCCGTAACAGAAGAAGCGTGGGCCCTGCAGAGGCTGGAGGTGAGGACACGCAGAGACCTGCTTTCTCATCCCTGCTCGGGCTTCTCTCTGGCACACAGCTGGGGCCAGGAAAGCGGCGGTAGGCCAGCACTCAGGGACCTGCTCCTCAGCCGCAGAACCCCAGGGCCGGGGGCTGCCCCTGGTGGGAGACCCTCCCTCCCCTGACACTTCTCTCCAGGAACTTAGCATGATCCAAACAGGTGGACAACACCTGGATCTCTCCACACTGGAGTTGGCTTATCGGACATGGCTCCTACCTTCAGCCTTTGAAACAGTCATTCCCAGAGCGTTCGTGGCCCAAGCAAACAAGCACTTGCAGGTGAACAGCGCAGCCCCAAATACAGATGATCAAGGAGACAACTAACCAGCACCAGGGGACAGGATGAGGGTGTGACACACCGAGAACCCAGAGACGGCCTGGCTGAGCCACTGAGGGACTGCAAGAGAGGAGCGGTGCGAGCTCTGCTACGGAACGGAACAAGGAAGTTAGCTTTTAAAACCTCACTGATTGTTACATCAGCCCTCCGGGATAGGCACGCTCATCCTCCCATTTTGCAGATAGAGAAACTGAGACTCAGCAAGGGTAACCAAGGTCACACAGCCCGCAGGCGGCAAGGTCAGGATTTGAACCCAAGCCCCAGGGCCCTGGCTGTTGAACTCTGAGTTCTGCACTTTTGTCTGGTCATCATTGTCGTCCTTCCCGAGGTGTGACTTTCTGTTCCCAAGACGCTACAAGCACCGTCTCCTTCCACCTTCCTCCTTCAATCTGTGATACTAGTTTCTATATGAATCACCAATAACAAAGGACCACACACCAGGCAGCCTAACACATCAGAAATGGATAGTCTGGGTCCTGGAGCTGGAATTGGGTGGTGAGGCTGGGTAGGGTCGTCCTCCTGGGGCTCCGGGAGAGAACGTGGTGTCCCAAGCCTCTGCCGGCAGCTGGTGGTGGCCAGCAATTCTCGGAGTTCCTGGGGCTTGTAGATACCTCTTGGCCTCTCACCTCATGCTGCTTCTTCCCATGAGCCCCAACCTCCGGGGAAATCCACAAAGGAGAAGTCCTTCTCCCACCCTTTAATTTAAAAATTAAGGTATAATTAGCATGATGTTACATTCCTTTCAGATGTCACCTGCTCTTCACCTGATCGCAGCTGCAAAGGCCCTACTTCCGAACAAGGTCGCGTTCCCAGGCTCTGGTAGATAATTGCCGTGACCCCGGACACCACGACTCCTATGGAAGGACTGGGACACCATCCCATGACCCGCCAGGCAGCCCTAGTAAGTACGGAGGTGAGCCACTAACTGTACATGGAGAGATCTGAGGCCTGAGGTTGAGTGAAATTAGCAGTTTTTAGAATACTAAGCTCGGATGAAGTCTCCCCTGGAAATACAGAAAGCATTAATGTTTTCCCTCTGGATGCATGAGGCAAGCGCGCCTGAAGAGTCACGCTGCCCAGACAACTTCGCTTCCTTCTGTGCAGGCCCCCACAAGGCCTCTTTACCGTCACTCGTTAAACGTGCACGAACTTGTGACAAACGTTATATGGTCTCATTCATTCGGGGAATATAAAAAATAGTGAAAGGGAATAAAGAAGAAAGGAGAAAAAATGAGTGGGAAATATCAGAATGGGAGACAGAGCATAGAGACTCCTAACTCTGGGAAACGAACTAGGGGTGGTGGAAGGGGAGGAGGGCGGGGGGTGGGGGTGAATGGGTGACGGGCACGGAGGGGGACACTTGACGGGATGAGCACTGGGTGTTATTCTGTATGTTGACAAATTGAACACCAATAAAAAATAAATTTATATTAAAAAAAAAGAAAAAAAGAATTTGTGTCACCCGGAGTTTACGTGTCCGGAGAGCAGGTGCTGTTTGCTCCTGGGCGGTTCCCTGCGCTGCCGCCCTCCCGCCAGCAGGGGGCGCCGTCCCATCCAGCGCCGCGCCCGATCCGCCCGGAAGTCCCGCCCCTCCCGGAAGTCGGAGTCGGAGCATCCAGGAACATGGCGGCGTCCGCGAGCGCGGGAGTGACGCGCCGGCGTGGGCGCTGGGGGCGCGGACCCTGTAGGCAGCGCGGACGCGGGGTACGCCGCGGGCCGGGGGTCGGCACCGAGGGAGCTCTGAAGCGGCTAAAGCTAGCGGTGGAGGAGTTTGTGCAGGCGGCCTCCGAGGGGGAGACCCCCGGCGGCCGCGCGGGGCCCCGGACGGAGGGCCGCGTGCGCCCGGGCGAGAGGAAAAGCCGCAGGGAGCTGAGGAAGGAGAAGCGGCACCTGAAGAAGGCGCGGCGGCTGCAGAGGTCTGCGGGCCCCGTGGGCGGCGGCGGCGGAGGAGCCGGGGGGGCGGCGGAGGAAGGCGCCTGGCCGCCCCCTGCTCAGGCCCCGCCTCCGTCGAAGGGGCTGCGACCGCCCCGGGCCCGGGACCCCGGAGCGCGCCCCGAGGCCAGGGCCCCCCCCGGGGGGACCAGGCCTGCCGCAGCCGCAGCCGCTGCCGCCGCTCGGAAACGGGCTCTTCTGGCGGCCAACGAGGAGGAGGACCGGGAGATCCGAAAGCTGGAGCGGTGCCTCGGCTTGAACAAGCGCAAAAGGAAGGGCGACGGCAGCTCCGTGCCGCTGAGCTTTGCCCGCGATGGGCTCGACTACATCCTCGGAGCCCTGGAGTCTGGAAAAAATAGTGGCTTGTATGAAAGCAGCAGCAGCGAGGAGGAGGAGGATACCGAGGAGGATGCGGGGCCGACTCTCCCCGAAAGTGACTTAGAGAGTGACACGGAGGACGAGGGGCCGCAGGAGGATGTGGAAGAGGACGAGAACACGCTGGGAACACACAGTGAGGAAGAGGATGTGAAAGAGGAGAAGCAAAAGAAAGCAGAAGAGGGGGGAGCCACGCGGCAAAGGGACAAAAAGAGGGTCCGCTTTGTAGAAGAAAAGAGCGAACCATCCTCCTCCGAGGACTCTGACACAGCAGATCAGGTATTGTGTGAACAACCTAAATTCCCCGGGGTTTTTCTCGAAATAAGGAGTGGTGGCAAGAGTGGGACAGATGTATTGTTAATTGTTGAGTCGAGTGTGGGTAAATCGGGTTATTTGGTCCATTATGTGTTTTAATTTCAATAAGGAGTTCAGGGAGAAGACATCTCTAAAGATCTCTTTATCCCCATTCCCAGGGCCATTCCCAGCAGTTGTCCTGAGGTGGCATCTTCTTTCTTTACTGTCCAAACTCGACTTTGAATCCCCTCCCCCTCGGCCCTGTTGGGTGGGCGGTCCGCAGCACCCGTCACTGGCTCTGCCCTCACCTTGTCCTTTTCCTGTCCGGCTGCTCCTGCAGTGATTCTTGGAAACAAGAGCTAGTCTACAACACTGCCTTGAGTAAACTCATACATTGAAGATCAAGTTCAAAATCCACAACAGAGCAGTCAAGGCCTTCACGGGCTGGCCCCTGGCCTTGAAAATAGTTTCCCATCAGCGTGCACTCCTTCCCGCATCTCAGCACTACAACATTCTGCCCCTAAATACATGTATTCCTTCTACCTGCAGCATCTTTCCTCATTTTCACACTCTCTTTATCTGTTCAAGTCCCTCATCTCTGGGAGTCTTTCCCCATCATAAGTAAATGAACTTTCATTTCTGTCCTGGTGCCTTAGCACCTGGCGCTCTGTGAGCAGTCTTTAACTGCCATCAGTTCCTCTCCTAGAACTTTATTTTTTGGCTATTCCTAACTTTTCTTCCACAGCTTGTTGAGGTATAATTAACATACAGTCTGAACTAATGGGTGTCTCCAGAGTACCAGTTTCTATCTATGTACGTGTGATTTCTCCAACCCACCTATGTTTAAACGTCCTGACAGCATGATCAGGACTTAAAATGTTTGTCTCCTGAGGCCCTCACTTAAGTGCCCAGGGAGTGTTGGGTCAGTGGTAATGATGTGTGACCTTCCCAGTTGATGATTTAGGAAACAGCAATGGATTGATTGGGATTTTGTCCTATATGTGTACATATGAATTTTGTTTTGAACAAGTTTGAGGTTGTCTTAGGACACTCTCCCTCCAGATCTGGTGGTGCTTATGTACTGCCAGGCCCACCGTAAGTTAAGCCTGGGTAAGTGTAGGATGTAGAGCTGTGGTGGGCAGGTGGAAGAGGGCACGGCCAGCTGAAGAGTTACAGAGGGAGAAACACGATGATAAGATGACGGTAACGTCCATGGTGACACCCAGCAGGGTTACTCAGGACTCCCCCAGGCACTCAGTAAATTTCTGATGGTGATTAAGCAGCAGTGCTCAGTAGTCACAGCTTCTGCCAGTCCTTGGGACTTTAATACATAAATGTGAGCATAGCAAGGAGAAAACTGGAACTTGTTCAATGCAAAATTTTTGTGATTCTGTCCTTCCAAGCAGAGTTTTTGTGAAAATGAAGGAAAGTACATCCCACCTCACGTGAGGCAAGCTGAAGAGACAGCGGGTGATCAGAAAAAAGAGGGACTGGAAAGACTAAAGAAACACGTCAAAGGTCTCGTTAACAGGTAAAACCTCGCAACATTGTCATCCCATGCGGTGCCAAGAGCCTGTTTTCCAAAAATGCAGAAACTTTCCCAGGAATTAAACCGTAAGTGATGGGCGTGGCAAGGATTGTAGGACTCGATTGGCTCCTTTCTGTTCATGTCTTGTTGCAGCTTGAAGAGCAGGATGCCCACATTTACCATTTGGTACTTTGAACCTTCAGGGTTTGAAAGCCATACAGGTTGCCCACATGTTTGTTCTGAGAAGTCCCAGGAACAGGCCTGGCAGAGCCGACTCTTGCAGGGACACTGTGTCAGGAGTGCGGTCTTCTGCCCCCTTGCTCGTTACACGTGTGTGCATTCTCTGCAGCGTTTTCACACAAAAAGCGGCGGGTACCTGCCCACAATGAACACAGGACCCGACCCCTCTGGCATCGCATGGCTCTCCTCTAGCCTTTGTGGTCCCACCCAGCCCTCCCCCACCCTCTTCCCCACTCACACCCATTGTTTAATTTTTAATTAAAACAAAATGCTGTTTCTGGGGCAGCCCAGTCAGTTAAACATCCAACTCTTGATTTTGGCTCAGGTCATGATCATGAAATCTAGCCCCATGTCAGGCTTCTGCTCAGCAGGGAGTCTACTTGAGATACTTTCGTCCTAGCCCTCTGCCCTGCCCCTACACTCACTGCTGCGTGCACTTGCAGTCTTTCAAATAAATCTTTAAAAAAAAATTTTTTTTTAAGATTTTATTTTGTTTTTGAGAGAGAGAGAGAGATTGCACATGCTCACAAGCAGGAGGAGGGACAGAGGGAGATGGAGAAGCAGGCTCCACACTGAGCAGGGAGCCTGATGTGGGGCTCGATCCCAAGAGCCTGAGATCATGACCTGAGCTGAAGGCAGATACTTCAACAACTGAGCCACCCAAGCTCCCCTAAAGAAAATTTAAAACAGGGAACCCTGGGTGGCTCAGCGGTTTAGCGCCTGCCTTTGGCCCAGGGCACAATCCTGAAGACCTGAGATCGAGTCGGGACATTATAGGCTCCCTGCATGGAGGCTGCTTCTCCCTCTGCCTGTGTCTCTGCCTCTCTCTCTCTCTCTCTGTTTCTCATGAATAAATAAATAAAATCTTTTTAAAAAGAAAATTTAAAACCAAAACAAAATACCGTTTCCATGATACAGCCTGGAATTTTACCAAACATGCTTTTTTAATGCTCAGTGTCAGCACAGGTGCAGTGCATAATCTTCATGTGTGTATCCCTCTTTCCCCTCCACTCTGAATAGAGCAACCTTTCCCAGGGTGGGAACTAAAGATTTTTATGCTGGCCACTAACCAAAGAGTGGAAAAGTTGGATTTTTTCCCTACAGCACATACTGATGTGCTAAAAGTAAGGGTGCTTCCTTGCCTCTGACTCAGATGCTGGATCAGATACCAGGGGAGTATGGTCATTACAGTCTCCCTGGTCTTGAAGAGAGTCCATGTTTGCTTCCTTGGGGCCATATTTCAAGTGGAAAGATGGCAGTGTGGTTATTGAAGGATTCCAGAGGATTATGTGCTATTACATGCAGTATCTGCTGGGGCGAGATAAAAACTATTCACGGGTTAGAGGTGTACATGAGATAGGATGTATTGGTAATGTTGATGACTTTCATTCTTTTAAATCAAACTAAAAACTAATTCCTGATTTGAGGCCTTTACTACTGTCTGCAGGTTGAGTGAACCGAGCATAGCCTCCATAAGTGGGCAGCTGGAGGAGCTGTACATGGCCCACAGCAGGAAGGACATGAACGACACTCTGACGGACATCCTCATGAGTGCCTGTGCTCCAGACACCGCCATGCCCAGCAGGCTGATGATGGAGCATGTGCTCCTGCTCAGTGTTCTTCACCACACAGTTGGGGTGGAGGTAGGGCTCCCTTCCCCTGAGCTGTTACCAGTGTGCAAACAGTGCCTTGCAGCAGGCTCCGTTCGGGAGATACCACTTTGTCACTGTCACATGAACACTTGATTTTGTGCTTGATCCAATCTAACATGCCTTCTCATTTATTAATGACTTTTTTGGGGGGACTTACATTTTGGACTGCCTTCATCTTTGAATTCCAGCTGTACGGGTAACTTGTTTCAGATATTCTGAGCACTGTGATCCATATGGTCTTACTACTCAAGCATTCATACTGGATGGAGATCAGTTTTTCATCAGTAAGAGGGCCTGAAGAATGGGAGGCAAAACTGGATTGAATTAAGTGAGGGGACATGTGACAGGCCCGGGGCTTGGAGCCCCCCAGGCCACCTCCAGGTGGGCTCCAGACCTTCCTGTGCCCTCTTCTGTGAAGTGGGGTGTTTTGTCAGGATTAAATTGGGCAGTGTACGCAAAGCACCTGCCTGATGCCCGCTACCAAATAGGTGCTACTGAGCAAGTTGTTGTCCCTACTTCTCTTGTGTCCTCTGTCCTGGGTCGGTGGCCCTCTGGGTCAGCATCAGGGAGGCTCTGTGGTGTCAGCTCCCCATCTGTCACCTCATACAGTGCATCACAACCTCCAGGCAGTATTCCATTCCCTCGGTGTGGCCTCTTTGGGGTTGTTGCAGGAATAGTCTGATCCCAGAAGTTAATACTGAGGCATGGGAACAGACGGTGGATTAGTGAGTAGGGCTTCATTTTCCCAGGGGATGTTCCTAGGCAGAACTCATTGACCTTTTGAGTCTTTCTGTGGGACAGTATTTATCGTGGTGGTTTTGGTTTCTTCCGTTCTGATCATCCTCCTCCCAACAATGGGCCTCAGCAGCAAACACCGCTAACAGCCTGAGCCCTGGGGGAGGTTTGCATATTAGTGCCTCCCTTACTCCTGGCCCTCTCAGTCCCCAGCAGGGCCAGGAGTACAGGTAGGCATGCAGCCCCCTTCACACCCACAGCAGAGCCCAGGAGAATGTGCGCTGGCCCCAGGGTGGCAGCTACAAAGTGCTCTGGAGCTGTTTCAGTGCCACGGTCAGCATGCATTACCCCCTCATTTTGTCATTTGTTCCCAGAACTCACTGGAGTCTTGCAGAGCAGGCCTGTGCATGGGTCATTTTAAAGGCCATGGACTTGCCAACCACGTCCTTTTTTGCTATTAGAGGTTCTGCAGGAGGGGGACGTGCCAGCATCCACCACATCAGGGATGCCAGCTGGCAATCTCCACACCAGTATCTTCCCCTGTAGAGTTGGTTTATGAGGTCTCCGTGCAATGAGGACATTCCGTGGCATGGTCCATAGGAAGTGCTCAGTAAACGTTGCTTAGTCGTACTAAGCTCTGCTTGATGTGGGAGGATGTTTTCTGGTTGAAAGGCTCTCCTCACCTGAGCCTGTCTGGTTTCAGATGATCATTTCTTTAAAAAACAAAAAAAGATTTTATTTATTTATTCGTGAGAGGCAGAGGGAGAGAGAGAGAGAGAAGGGCAGAGACACAGGCAGAGAAGCAGGCTCCATGCAGGAAGCCTGATGTGGGACTTGATCTTGGGACTCCAGGATCACGCCCTGGGCTGAAGGTGGTGCCAAACTGCTGAGCCACCCAGAGATCCCTCAGGTGATCATTTCTTGCCCAGTGTGCTGACATCACTCCATGCCAGCCCCTGTGTCTACTTCTGTCCCCCCTGCCCCCCAGCCTCAGCTTGAGATTGAAAATGAGTGTTAAGAGTAGTTTGATAGATAAAATCTTTAAAAAAAGAAGCAGCAGCAGCAGCCTGGGTGGCTAGTGGTTGAGCATCTGCCTTTGTCTCAGGTCATGATCCCAGGTTCCTGGGATCAAGTCCCGCATTGGGCTCCTGTAGGGAGCCTGCTTCTCCCTCTGCCTGTGTCTCTGCCTCTCTCTCTGTCTCTCTCATGAATAAGTCTTTTTTTTTTTTAAAGTAATTTGACCTGTAGCCATTCTTAATGTTTCTAATAACTTCATTTTTCTAAGGAACTGGAAGGGCTGCTGGCCAAAAATACTGCCTTGTTGAATTTAAAGACCAAAGAATGTGCTTAGAGATTTGGGTGTCACGGCAGATGGCTGTGTGGTGTCATTTACTGTAGCGTTCTCCAGTGTGTACACAGCTGCTTATAAAGTTTATGCCATATTGGAGTTTATACCATACTGTGTGTATGTTTTACATACTAATTTAAAAAGCACTGATTTTTTTTCTACATACAGTTAAGTTTATTGAAAGAGGAAGAAGGATCCCTGCAAATAGCTTGCTAACATTTGATTCTTATGTGTTTGCAGTGATACTTTCTCTGCTCTGTTTGTCCAGGTCGGTGCTCACTTCTTGGAGGCTGTGGTGAGGAGGTTTGACACCATCTATAAGAATGGAGGAGGAGGGAAAGAGTGTGAGAACCTGCTTACCATCATTGCCCATTTGTATAACTTCCACGTGGTACAGGCTCGCCTTGTCTTTGACATTTTGAAAAAACTTATTGGAACTTTCACAGAAAAAGATATTGAGCTGACCCTGTTGATGCTGAAAAACGTGGGCTTCTCATTGAGGAAAGATGATGCGTTGTCACTTAAGGAACTGATCATGGAGGCCCAGGCCAAAGCCAGCGAGGCGGGTGGCAAGTTCCAGGACCAGACCAGGGTACAACTGTGTCTCCTGACCTTCCTAAGTCCCCAGATGCCCACACGCTGACCAGAGCTTAAAAATAAGTATTTGGGGTAAAATCGCATTTACCCCACTGTCTTCTGCCTCATCAGGTTCTGTGGCTTTATTGTCAGTATGCAAATGAACTTTGTTTTTCTGCTAAGAACTCAGGTGTTCTGTGAACTTAAGAATCAGTTTCTTTAAAATTTATCCATTCAAAACACGTTTACTGAGAAAGGCAATGTGGCATGGGCCTCAGGCATCAGCGCTCTTGCATTTCCAGCTCTTCTGCTTAACAGTGACGCACCCTGAGTCTTCCCAGCCTTGGTGTCCGTGTCTAGGAAATGGGGGCTCATTGTGGCTCCTGCCTCATCTGCTGGTTGGGAGGCACGAGTAAGCTCCAGGAAGCCCATAAGGGAGGAAAGGATGTCACTCTGGTAACAAGAGAAGAGTTTGTGTCTGGAACCTGCAGGGAGCAGGGCAGTAGGAGTGGGCAGAGGCTGGCCTCAGGAGTGCTTTGTAAACCCTTTCAGGGACTTGGGGTTTTATCCTGGAGGCATCCTGGGTTCTGAGCAGGCAAATAATGTACGATGTTTTCATGTCACTTTGACTACACTGAGAGAAGGGGGAGGTAGGCAGGCAGGGAGCCTTAGCATTGTAGCAGTAGATATGGATTTAGGAGTTAGAAGTGACCAGATGGTGTAGACTGGAGGAGAAGGCTGGTGTTAAGGACAGGAAGGGCCAGGGTCACCCCTGGTGGACCACAGGACAGTAGGACAAGACTCAGACTCAGGAGGAAAGACAGGCCCATTTTGGAAGTCCTGAAATGGAATGCTGGGGTCAGCCATGAGAGGTGCGGTCCTGGGAGCTGTGCAGGTTGGGGAGTGAACAGAGCCCCACAGTTTCAGAGCACCAGCATTCATCTGCCTTGTTGGGAGGAGGAGCATGAGGAAGCTCCTGGAGTCAGGTCCCTGAGTGTCCCAAGGAAGCCCTTGTCCCTGGGCTGAATGCTCAGAGGCAAGTTTAAAACACAAAAGTCTACAGAGACAGGAAGTAACCTCTGTGCCCTAGGGCTGGGGAGGATGGGGATGCCCGAAATGGGTTTGGAGTTTGGTGGGGGTGAGAATATTCTGGAATTGATGAAGGTAGCTGCACACCCCTGAATGTGTTCATTGTATGCTTTTAAATGGGTGAGTTTTATGGTGTGTTAGTTAGATCTCAATAAAATGTAGTATATGAGGAAATCTCAGAGAAGGATATGCAAAAATTCTTTTTTGCTGTTCTTATGACCTTAATTACAATGTTATTTCTAATTTAAAAGTCAAAAAGTAAGAATGGGGAAGAAGTTGAAATATAGTAGGGAGAGAGGGTAACTAAAACTGTGGGAGTGGGGGGTGGGGGGCCACTGGGGCAGGTCAGAGGAGGTGGGGCAGGGTGGGGGAGAGGAAGGCAGATCTGGCCAGAATTTCAGGGCGGGGGTGGGGGTGGGGTGTTGTCAGTGTCAGATGGAGGCCAGGTGGCACAATCGTATTAAAATAGGTTAGTGTCCTGAGCAGGAGGTTCACATTCATGGCCACTGTCAACTTGGAAGACCATCTGTGGTTGGTCAGTGGTAGTGGTGACTGTGCGTGTCCTTCCCCAGTCGGACAGTCGTATGTTTAGACTATCTGAAATGATGGTTTCTTCTGTTGTCGTTTTTTTCTTAAAGGTTCGGTTCATGTTAGAGACCATGTTGGCGCTGAAGAACAATGACATGCGTAAAATTCCAGGCTATGACCCTGAACCAATGGAGAAACTCAGGAAGTTACAGAGAGCTTTGGTGAGGCACTTTCACTTCTTATTTCGAGTTCCCATGTCTGCATGTGCTCGTTGTGACAGTACGGAAAGCATTTGGTGCTGTAAGGTGCCATATCTGCTTAATAAGATATCCAGGAGAGACGCTGGGGTGACTGTGTTGCTCTAACGGCTGACTCAATTTTAGCTCGGGTCATGATCTTGGGGTGGTGAGATCAAACCCTGTGTCAGGCTCCATCCTCAGTAGGGAGTCAGAGTCTGCTTGAGATTCTCTCCCTCTGCCCTTCCCCTTTCTGTGAGCTCGCACACTCTTGCTCTCTCTCAAATGAGTAAATAAATCTTAAAAGAGTTCCAAGATACTGGGAGGAACCCTCAACGTTTCTGTGGTGGGAGCCTCAGAGTGGCCCATGGGCAGGGCAGCCCCTGTGAGTTAAGTGTCCCCAGCACTCAGCCTGTGCTGCTGGACTCAGCTGCACAGTAGGTCTCTGATCACTTTGAAAGGAGGCTCAAAAAAAAAAAAAAAATGAAAGGAGGCTCAGGCCAGGATCCACCCAGACCAGTGAAGTCAGTGTGGCAGTGGGGGGGGATCATCTGTTGGAGCATGTGCCCCTGACATGGGACCACAGCTCCCCACTGACACCGTCAGTCGGGGGGGGTCCTCAGCCCTGTCTCTGGACAGATCTAGAATCATTGGTTCAGCAAACCCCAGGCGCTGCTGGGCCACATTCTCACCAGGAGCTCCACTCAGCTCTCCTTGGGGCCTGAGTCCGAGCTTCTTCCCTGCTGTGACAGCTTTTCAGACACAGGACTGTTTGGGGTGATAAGCCCACAAATCTCAGCCAGAAGCGCTGAGTTTACCTCTAACTTTGGCATTATTCCACACTAGCTAACTAGTTGTCAGTGACTAACAGTTGTCAGTGACTCAGCACAATATTCACAAACCAAAAACTCCATGATCCAAAAACAGAAAAAGCCTAAGGGTGATGATCGTGCAGACTGAGCCAACTAAACTGTTTACTAGCTCCTTTTCTTTCTCTCAGGTACGCAGTGCTGGCTCAGGTACTGAAACTCAGCTCCGCATCTCCTGGGACAGTGTCCTGAACGCCCAGCAGACTGGGCGCTGGTGGATCGTGGGGTCCGCATGGAGTGGGGCCCCTATGATTGACAACAGCCAGCAGAAGACACTGGAGAAGCACCCCTCGGGGACGGTACAAAAAGCCCTGCACTCCTACCAGGAGCATGTCCATATCCCCCACGGTGTCTTGGGCATTCCCTAGAGTAGCCACCTTATTCATTGGGTGGTTATCAAGACGTGTAGATGTGGGTTTATTCAAAGACCGTAGAGCAGTGGTTACTGTTCTGTGATATAATTTAATTCATTTTGTTATTTCTTTTTAACATATTTTTATAAGTCCCACAATAGCATACATAAAGGACTTAAAACTTGAATGAAACCAGGGGAATGTGTGAAAACCCAAATGTGGGATGCCTGGGTGGCTCAGTGGTTAAAGCATCTGCCTTCGGCTCAGGGCGTGATCCTGGAATCCTGAGATTGAGTTCCACTCAGGCTCCCTGCATGGAGCCTGCTTCTTCCTCTGCCTGTGTCTCTGCCTCTCTCTCTCTCTCTCTCTCTCTCTCTCTCTCTCTCTCTCTCTCTCACTCTCACTCAAATAAACAAACAAATAAAATCTTTATTTAAAAAACAAAAACCGGAACGCTCCCCTTGCAGGTAACAGGCTTGAGAGGCAAACAGTGTGTCCCAGGAGGTGTGGCTTCTGGTCCATTGGGCTTAGATTGTTAGAATTTTTTGTATTTCTCTATATTTTATTATTAACTAAAGTCCTTATGTTATTCAGATTTCCTTCATTCTCCCCCAATACCCATTTTTTTTGGTCTCAGGAGCCCATGTCACACCTCATCATCCTGGCTCTTCTAATTCATGTCATTATTGCCGAGACTGAAGATCAAGCTCTCCCAAGTTTTTCTGAAACTCTTGTGGCTTGTTTTGTCTCTTGCTGCTGTTTTCTCTTTGTGGGTGCTTACCTGAGAACAAAGATTCAGCATTCACTTGTGTATATTTACATGTAACCAAAATTAATTTTCAGAAGCATCCGTGTTATCTTTTAGAAACTTTGTTACTACAGTAAACCAAGGTAACTGTTCCTTGAAACAACCTTGTGGTCTGTGCCTTAATTACTCCTCTTTCAGGTTAGTAAGAAGATACTAGAACTCGCCCGAAAGCAGAGAATGAACACCGATGTCAGGAGAAACATATTCTGTACAATAATGACTAGTGAAGATTTTTTGGACGCATTTGAGAAGCTCCTGAAGTAAGCATTAGTGCAAACACTTGGATTAGATGTTGAAGAAATCAGCACAGTTGAGTTTCATGTTATGAAGGGTTAGGTCAGATGCTGCCCAGGCGGCGGCATTATCCTGTTTCTCCTCCTGCCCTGGCTTCAGGCGTCCCCTGGTCAGCAGTCTTGCTCCTGTGAACTGGCCACTGGTCATTCCAAATTGGAACATTTTATGATCTATTTTGATTAAAAGTATTAGATGATTATTCACAGTGACTGTTGGTTGCCATAAATTGCTTAGAATCCTCATATTGAGGTGGTTTTTCTGATTACTTCTAAATTAAAAACTTCCTGGTATAATTTCTATATTTATTTGTAAAAATTTTTAAAGTATCTGTGTACCTTTATAAAATATTTCTTAACAAATCTGATATTTTCTTTTATTGCTTCAAACACAGAATGAAATGCCTGGGCACGAGGCCAGGCCTGCCCGTAGCACCTGTCTTGTAACTCCAATCCCCCTCTCCTCGGTTCCCTTTTAACCAAACTGCCAGGCAGCATGTGCTCCTCTGAAAGATTCCTTACTCATCACTATCTGTTTTGTAGGCTTGGGCTGAAGGACCAGCAGGAGAGGGAGATCGTTCATGTTCTCATGGATTGCTGCCTTCAGGAGAAAACCTACAACCCTTTCTATGCATTGCTGGCTGGCAAGTTCTGTGACTACCAGAGGAAGTTCCAGGTAACCTCACTAGCAGCCCACCGGTTACCTGGGCCCCACAGTTTTCCTAGATATTCTGTCTGGCTCATCCCACCCAGAACAAGCGCCCTGAGTGAGGGGTCTATCCAGCTGAGAGCTGTGGGGGTGGGGACAGTACCAGGGCTCATGCCTGCGGCCAGGCACCCCCTCCCAGGGAGCTAGTGGACATCACTGAGGCAGAGTGGCCGGGCTACCTTTTCTTGTCGCAGATGAGGGTGTCTTGTGCCCCCATCCCTGGGGCAGTGCCTCCTTGATCTTACGTGGCAGCAGCTTTTTATGATCTTTCTCAACATTTCTGCCGATCAGAGCCAGAAAATCCAAACAAATTACAGTGGCACTGTCTCAAACCACTGTGTGTTGTCCTGACTCAACTTTGAAGATACTGCAAGTAGATGAGCAGTAGAAGACCTGGAGGTTAACACTGTTACTCACTTACTCTAACAATTGTCTGCATTGTAACTCTTTTTTTTTTTTTTTCAATTGTTCTATTAGATGACTGTCCAGTTCAGCATATGGGATAAATTTCGGGACTTAGAAAATTTGCCAGCCACTAATTTCTCTAATTTGATTCACTTGGTAGCCTACTTGTTGAAGACAAAATCACTTCCACTTTCTATTTTAAAGGTTTGTATTGTGGATGAAATTATTAAAAGCAATCAAAAATGAAAATGCTAGTGCAATTTGGTATTGATAGTGGTATTGATTTGGTATTGATAGTGTAGTTTGGTATTTTAAGAAAATGCATTTCCTTAGATTCTAACTTACCTGGAAGGGGTTTTATAATGTCCTAGCCATCAGAGAAAGTTGCCAGGGTAGCTTGCAGTGTAAACATAGCTCATAAACGAAGATACAGTTACAGTCGTTTGGCTCATCTCCGAGAATCTTGTTTGGACTTTGGGTTCATGTGCAGGTCCTAGTTAACAGTCTTGCATTGGCCACTGGCGAATCAGGAGGAGGATGAGGAGACAGAGCCAGTGAGCTGCAGTGCAGGACTCACGCTTTTTCTCCCTTTGTGATGCCACCCTCCTCCCCTGCCAGCCCCGCCCTGTTTCTGCATCACATCCGAGTCAGGGAAATGCAGGTGCCCTGACGTTGGTCTGGAGTGGACAGGGAGGGAACCTGAGGGCCAGCGAGAGTGTCCAGGGCCTGGACTTCTGTGCCTCTTGCTCCCTGACCTGCAGATAGACTACAGATGGAATTTCCTGGTCATGCTTATATGTCTGTCCACCAGGGCACTGAAGTGGTTGACTGTGTCTGGGCTGTGCTACGAGGGGTGGGCCACTGTAAGTCCCACTGAAAGAGCACTGAGCCTTATGCCACATTATAAAAATGAGAGTGCTGTAAAGCATAGAGAGTACATGCCTTCTCATTGCAGGACTAGATCTTGCCTTCAGTTCACTCAAGTTTTGAGCTCCAAACGAAATAGGCTACGGTGTTTCCCTAGATTCAGTAGAACCTAGAGATGTCCTAGAAATTTGTCCCCGGTCCTCACTCCCCCCTTCCCACCACCAATTCACAGAGGCCTCTCTTGAACTCTTAGTGCAGATGGCACATCATCATGCACACAGTTTTCCTCTACGTGGATAGCATTATCCTATCCCCGCAGTCCAAAAATCTTCCTACAGTTCTCTGTTAAGTCAGCATGAGTTTGCAGTATATCCACATGAATATCTATAATTCTGTTCTCTGATTTTATTATCTCTGTGCTGTATTTCCCTGTGTAAGTGTACTAAAATGTATATATATTTCTTAGGGAATACATATATATGTACGAGTGATTTTCTCCTAGATCTGAATTTCTCATGTATGGTCTTAATTAGGGGGCAGTTTTTTCAAGGCATGGAGATATGTCTGTTTCAATTCCTGAATTAAATTCCTGATTCATAAGTTCTGCACCCATAAAAGCTTAGCACTGGCAGTGTGCTGTCAATGGTGGTGTGCACATACCTGTGGGCAGTGTGTAGGGCAGCCTGTGGCCTTGCCAGCAGCTCTGCATCTCCTACAACTGGAAGTAGCCTTACTTAAAGGGGGCGGGTAATTTTTTTACTCTATTTTTAGAAATTAGTGAAAAAATTGACTAAATTTAACTTTCTCTCTGTCCTGACTCTAATTAGGTAGTTGAATTCAGTGAATTGGATAAACCCAGAGTCCACTTTTTACGAAAAGTATTACATATTCTGTTAATGGAAACAGAAGTTGAAGACCTTGGTTCAATTTTTGCAAGGTATGTTCTCAGCTTGTTCTATGAAAATATGGAAAAGAGATAAAGAGAATTATTTTCACTTATGTTGACTTATAAAGACAAGGTTGTTACACATTATGTGCAGCTTAATACATTATTTTCAGTTTTAATTTTAAGCTAATATACATTCGATTTGGGGGACATGAAACTTGCCTAATAGCAAACTAATGACGATCTCTAACACGTAGAATATGTTGTTAAGCTCTTGAGAATTCTGTTTTTAAAAGCAGTTAGGTTATATCTCCCAACTGGAAATTGTTAGAAACTGCAGTATGGGAAAGACCGGCTTATCCCTGATGCACATTTATGCCCCTCCTTTACAGAGTGTCTGACAACCCGAAGCTAGGCTTGTTGAGAGAAGGTCTGAAGCTCTTCATCAGCCACTTCCTGCTGAAGAGTGTGCAAGTGCACACAAGGGCAGAGGAGGCCAGTGTGCTGAGGGAGAGGGCTGACCTCGCAACAAAGTCTTTGCAAGGCAAAGCTTCCCTGAGAATGTAGTCTGGAAAAGGAGAAGAAGGGCGTGGTCATTTGTCTGCAAATGTCCTTTCTAAACCCAAAAGGCTTGTTACTCTGCTGACCATGTGCAAAAGCTTGTTGGAGCTATATATGCTACAGTCTTGTATTTAAGATACAGTGTTTGAGATCATTTTTTAATTCGAGGTTATATCGTGTTTATGTTTTAAACGATTTTTACATATCTGTATATGGAATGGGGTGAGGAGAAGGCAAGGGGGAAGGACAGGCAGACACGGGACACATTCTCTTAAGTAATGAGACTGGGTGGGATGCGATCGTTGTAGTCTTCCATAGACAGACGGTCCACTAGAGGGTGCAGTTATGTAGAAATTGATGCGGTTTTTATCTTTTGTGTGTATTGGTTAAAAGTTCCAAAACCATGAGTTAAATGTGATACCTGATATTGGGAAGTACTGGGAATGCAAGTATGTTTGAAAAGTCAGCGGTTGACTTAAGCCTTGCAGGTACCGGTACAGCCTGGTATGTCCGGGAGCTTCCCAGCAGCACTTGCCTCTCAAGGACACTGCCCCTGTCTGTGTCCATGGCTTACACTCATCAACTCCAGGTTGTAAAGCACTTTACTAAACAACTTTGAAGTCCCTGGATAGATACAGGACACGTAATGGGTGTGCCTCTGAGCTGGGTTCTAGGAGGAGTAAATGTGAATAACACAATTGCCACCTGCCAGGAATGAACGTTCATATAGTGGAAGACACACCCCGCTGAGTACAGTAAACTGGCAGCTTCTCTGAAGGAAGTAAGTCCTAGATTGACAAACATCTGTTGCTTCCCCGGCTCTTAGAATTTGCTTCTCTGTCTTAAATGCTGTAAACTTGATTTAAGTGTCACCTTTGGTTGCAAAGTCATCAAAACATGTGCTTAGAACCATGGTTTATATGGCATAAGCACATACCCGGCAGCGTGCTGTCCCACAGAACGACCACCTTGGAGAGCTGCCCTGGCCTGAGTGAGGTCACCCCAGACTCCCCTCTCTCAGACTTCCAAGTACGATCTTCATGTTACTCAACGCAGTTCATGTTTAGAAATCACCATGTGATGTAGCGTCTCCATGTGCACTCCTGAACTAATGTTTTAAGTCTAGAGATGCGCAAGGCACATGAAAGCCTTTGTGTCCCCAGTTGGCTAGCCCGCCAGCAGAGAACGGCGTGCATGAGCTGAGAGCCTCCACATTCTCTGTGGGTGGGGGTCAGGCCAGAAGAGGTCGGTTCCTCTCTGGCGCCTGCCTTCCCTCAAACTCAGCACACTGCCAGCCTCCAGGTCCTGCTCTGAAGAAGGCAGCATCCGTCAAACTAAACAGTGCACTTACTGACACAGTAAGTGCAGGCTCCTGCTTCCACAAAGACTCATGGAACTGACCTAAGGCCACTCACTGTGGGGGGCAGCCGCTGAGACCCCAAACGGTCCCTACCACCCCTGACATGCACTAAACCTAGTCGGGGGCATGGCTCAGCTCAAGCTAACTTTGCAGAAGAGGATCTTTTGTTAACAGAATCCCATTTTTATCTTGTCTTTTATAATTTGTCTTTTTTGATATTAAAGACAAATTAATATCAAATTAATATTTGATTTTTGTGAAAATATCATGGGTTATCACATTAGTAAGTATACTTATTAAAGTAAAGAATTATATCTTGAGGGCAGCCCGCGTGGCTCAGCAGTTTAGCGCTGCCTTCGGCCCAGGGCGTAATCCTGGAGACCAGGGATCGAGTCCCACATCGGGCTCCCAGCATGGAGCCTGCTTCTCCCTCTCCCTATGTCTCTGCCTCTCTCTCTCTCTCTCTCTCTCTCTCTCTCTCTCTCTCTCTCTCTGTGTGTGTGTGTGTGTGTGTGTGTGTGTCTCATGAATAAATAAAGAAAATCCTTAAAAAAAAAAAGAATTATATCTTGAACAATAGTCACTGAATTCAGACTTGCTTGTGAATACATAGGTTTTTAAATGTATTACAGTAATACTCCACATTTGAAAAATATTGAAGTCTTTGCTTGGTATGTATGTGAATTTTTGGACTCTTGTGATGCAGGCTTAGAATAGTGATTGTATTGATAGAATTTCTGAAAAGAAGCTGTCTTTTATTTTTTTTCCTTCTTTTTTTTTAAGATTTTATTTATTCGTGAGAGAAAGAGGCAGAGACACAGGCCGAGGGAGAAGCAGGCTCCATGTAGGGAGCCTGACGTGGGACTCGATCCCAGGGTGGTGCTAAACAACTGAGCCACCCAGGCTGCCCTATTTTTTTCCTTTAGATAATCTCTGCACCCAACCTGGGGCTTGAACTCGGCCACCCTGAGATCAAGAGTTGCATGCTCTACCGACTAAGCCACCCAGGAGCCCTAGGGGACTTCATGTTTAGAATAGAGATATAGGGCAGCCCCGGTGGCCCAGCGGTTTGGCGCCGCCTTCAGCCCAGGGTGTGATCCTGGGGCCCCGGGATTGAGTCCCACGTCGGGCTCCCTGCATGGAGCCCGCTTCTCCCTCTGCCTGTGTCTCTGCCTCTCTGTGTGTCTGTCATGAATAAATAAATAAAATCTTTAAAAAAAAATAGAATAGAGATATAAGGGACATAAGACAATAGAGACATAAGAGACATAAGAGTGGCTCAGTGGGTGTTGGGTGAAGCGTCTGCCTTCGGCTCAGGTCATGATCTCGGGATCCTGGGATTGAGTGCACTGTTGGGCTCCCTGCTCAGCCGGGGGTCTGCTTCTCCCTCTCTCCCTGTTCATTCTCTCTCTCAAATGAATAAAAATCTTTTAAAAATAAAAACATAAGGAACAGACTTTTTAATGTATTAAAATGTATAAATAAAATTATTTTTTATATTTTATTTAGACTGCCAGTAAAGGTTTATTTTGAAAGGTTTGTTGGTACTGATACCTTATCTTTCCATTTTTTTAGGAAACCTGATTAGCATGTGTTTTGGGCTACACCTAAAAAATACAGTCTCCATCTCCCTCCTCCCCACTCTCTGCCCAAAGACCCAGATAAAGCAAAGGAGGCAAAATGTTAACCATTAGTGAGTCTGGGTGAAGTTTATACAATGAAGGATATTCTTACAACTTCCCCATAAGTTTTAAATTTAAATTATTTCAAAATAAATAATTTTTATAAGGTATTCACAATGCAGAATTCACTCTTCAAAGTTTTAAAATGCTCTGATGTTTTTTTTCACACAAATAATGAAGCAAATCGCCTTTGCCTCTTTTGTAACAGTCTAACTAGGCCTTTCTGTGTAAACAGTGATAGGATTTTGGTGCGTCACTAGCATTTGGCGCTCCTAGGTGAGCAGGAGGCACAGCGAGTCGAGGGGCGGTGGGTCAGAGCCTCCAATGGACACCTGCGCGAGGCTGGGTGGCAGCTGGCAAGTCGCTCAGAGCCGAGCGCCCCTGGAAGCTGTGCAGCCTTCGGACTCCTCCTGTGTGCTCGAGACACCAGTACCCTCCCATCCTGAGGCACAGGCTTGCCCTCAGCTCTGTCCCCATGGTCGGTCAGTAGGGTGGCCCAGGGTTATTTTCTGAACCACTGGAGAGGAAGTTGCATCATCACATCATCCCTTCACCCTAAAGGACTGGATTTCCTAATTCTTAGGAATCAGGACGTGAACATGGGCTGGGAGGTTGGCGTAGAGTCCCTTCATGTGGGCTTTGGTGCTGTTCCTGACAGTCCAGTTGTACCTTCCATTCCTTGTCAGTGGAGTACATCAGGAGGCACATGGTGACGATGCTAACTGGCTGGCAGTGGAGGCAGTGTTGGCTGGGCTCTGCACCAGCTCCCCCGCAGGCAGAGCATAGGAAGCCACTGCTGCATCCCTGGTCACCCTGTGGCCTGCCTGGAAGGCCACAGTCCTTGCCACCTGGGATTCTCTGGGTCTCCCCGCAGTCTAGCTGGAAGGTTACAGTCCCTTGCTGCCTAGGATTCTCTGGGTCATGTGCATAAGCAGCTTGGCTAGGCCGCTCTGGGTCACACAGGAGGAGCTGCCCACCACCTGTCCTGGCAGCCCGATCCCCTCATGGATTAATCTTCAGCCCAAATAGTGAGGAGCTTCTGTTTCTTGCACCGAAGGCTGACAGTGTGGCAAGATGCGGGGCCAGGAGCGCTACACAATACCCTCCCCCGGGCCACTGACGTCCTTTGCCCTTTGCTTGACCTCTTGCATCGTTGGGCTTTTCTGCCCCGAAAGCCAGAGTGTGTGTCACCTTGTCGTGTCCAGTGAGCGCATGCGGCACCCTGGTCACCGTGTCCTAACAACAGGCTGGCCACAGGTGCACGGCAGGCGCTGTCTGCTGTGGGAGCTGCGGATGTGTCCTCTTGCATCTCCCCCCACCCCCGTGGCTCCCTTCCAACTCCTGGTGTTGTGTGCGTGGATGTGGCATCTCTGACATGGCAAGGAACTTGGGTTTTCTCGGGGGAGTAACACTGGCCCAGGGAGCCGAGCTTTCCTTTTTCTCACCTTGGAGGTTCTACGTCCTCCACTGACACTGGCGGGAGGGCGCTGGCCACTGCGGGGCCGAGTTCACGGGAAGGGGCCGTTTATCTTGAGCACAGCTGGATAAATGATGAAAAATTGTGTTTGCACGATAAGATGATGAAAGAGAAATGGGGCCCAGCTTCAAGTGCTCCAAGGGAGCAGGGGTGATGTCAGGAGCAGGGAGGGCTGCGCGGGCTTGGAAACAATGAGCTGTGTGTGCCCCCCGGGGCCCAGGGAGCCCAGCGGCTTTGACCTTGAGTGTGTCCAAACAAGGATGTATGGGCCACTGACCTTCACGGGTTATCGAGGCAGCACTTTCTCACCCCTCCCCTAAGATAGCCCCCAGCGTGCTGGGTGTTCCCGCAAGGACCTCACTACAGCCACGGCCGCCACCGCAGGGCAACCCACCTGGCACCGGGGAGCAGCAGAGAGGAGACCACCATCCCAGGCAGGGCCAGAGGCAAACCCGGGCGGGCTGCGGCTTGGGCCAAAGGGAACGTGGGTGAGAGCACTTCAAAATGCTTCTTTTAGGAAGTCACTTACTAGGGACCAGTCATCTCACTTTCCTTTGTCATGGCAGGAATGTTTCCAAAGAAAGAGGGTGAGTTCGAGTTCTTCCCCTTCTGTGTTTGCCAGGGTTGCCTCCTCTCCTTCTGTCTGTCCACAGGCCTGTGTATTCAGCCACGTGCTGTGCTGGAGTGGTTTGAAAACACAGACGTGGGGACATTCACCTCCTAGCGCCTGGGCCTGCGTCTCTGGTCCTGGCCTGTCCTCACTCCGAGACCAGCGCCTCACTCCGAGACCAGCGCACCACCCAGTCCTAATGCTGCTGCGGCTGTTCAGACGTGAATTTTCTGGAGCCGTGGCTCCCCAGCGTCAAGGATACCACCAGGTCCAAGCACCACATGTCCTTTCACCTCTCATTTAGCACAGAACACCTCCCTCTCTGTTTCTTGAGAAAGTTCATGATGCTGGGAGTTTGAGGAGTCCTGTCCAAGGGTTAACGGGGAATTCTGGATGTGCCTGGGGAGCCTCGGGGTAAATGCTTTGGGAGCAGTGGCAATGACCAATGCAGCGCCTCCGCCGAGGCAAGTAATCCCATCAGCTTGAGACACCCCCCCAACCAGTCCCAACTTCCGTCTAAGGTCAAGGCCACCAGACCTCTCCACAGTACAGATACATTGTTACCTTTGTCATTATTAAGGGAAATTAATCACCAAATTCAAGGACACTTTACAAGGGGAAAGGATGGCAAAACATGGATTTCCTGTTCCCCACCAGTACTTGGTGGCTTTGGCGGCCATCGGTCACCTGAGCAGCCTTGGGGGTGCGGAATGGCTGGTTTCTAATCCCATCACTCCTAGGTTTTTAGCTGCCATTCTTATTTTAAACGAATTCTCCTAGGGGAACACCTGGCCTCTCAGGCAGCAGAATGTGCAATTTTTTTTTTTTTTAAGATTTTATTCACTCAGAGAGAGAGAGAGAGAGAGAGGCAGAGACACAGGCAGAGGGAGAAGCAGGCTCCATGCAGGGAGCCAGATGTGGGACTCGATCCTGGGTCTCCAGGATCACACCCTTCGGTTTGGGCCGAAGGTGGCACCAAACCGCTGAGCCACCGGTGCTGCCCGAGTGTGCAATTCTTGACCCCAAGGTTGTGAGTTCGAGCTCCACGTTTGAGTGTAGAGAGTACGCAAATAAAAATAAACTTTAAAAAAAAATGAGCACACAAAATGAGTCTTCCTCTGCCTCTCTCCCCTTGCCCTGGAAAAGCTCAAACTCTACCCATTTTAGTCGCCTGGAGGGACACACGATCCCCTGACTCGTATGTCTTCAGATGTCATCATTGGCTGTGGCAGGTGCAGAGCATGTGTTCTCCGCCAGCACGCAGGAGCTGCCAGGCTGGGGTGGGCTCAGTGGAGCATGGTTCTGCCATCTCCAGGTTGGTGGCATGGCCTTCTGCCTGTCAGGGGCATGGGAAGCCCCTGGGTGCAAATGCCCCGCATGGCCTGGAACTCCAGCATGACCACCCCCATGGCCCAATGTGCAGGTTTGGGGTGCGTTTCTTTTTTTTGGGGGGGGGGGCGTTTCTTATTACACCATCAGCACACTTCTGTTATGTTGCCCATGAGCTATTAAAGATGAGGCATCACACTGTGCAATCCCACTTGAATGAGACAGTTGTGACCCTGACTAGACATGTGCCACTCGGTCATAAGGTGTAGAGAGACAGATGTGTCAGACCTGGCCAGCCTCCGCTGACCATCACCCCACAGCAGCCGCCCCACCTGCCCCATCGTGGAACTACTATTGCCTACGACATCAACCCGCCGTCAATGTTTTTGCTGATTGTTTAGGTGGGTTTGTGAACACCTATAAGTACATCAGTGATCTCTGCAGGACTCAGGATGGGCTCACTAGCAACTAATTAGGTCATCCTGTTCTCATGTCTTCTTAACACAGGAGTGAAGACTCCTGTCCACGAGCAGAGCAGGAAAGGTGACCAGGTGTCCTAGGTGCCCAGGCATCGGGGGCTCCCAGGATGGAGCTCTCTTGGTGCTAAAACTGGGGGAGTCCCAGAAAGCTGTGATGGAATGGCCACCCTAAGTCCAGGAGGCAGTGTGCAGCCTCAGACAAGGTCTTGGTTAAAATCTGCAGGGACAGGTTGGGGCTCAGGTACTGAAGTACAGGTGAGTGGGTGGGACTTGTCACTGCACCTGTGGTGCCCATCGCCACACCTGTGCCTGTTTTGTTTTTTTTTTTTTAAGATTTTATTTATTCATGAGAGAGAAAAACAGACAGAGGGAGAAGCAGGCTCCATGCAGGGAGCCTGACATGGGACTCGATCCTGAGTCTCCAGGATCACGCCCTGGGCTGAAGGTGGCGCTAAACCGCTGAGCCACCTGGGCTGCCCCCTGTGCCTGTTTTAATCAATAACTTGGCCAAAGAGGTAGAAAGTGTGCTTATGGGTTTAGCTGACAAGCTGACACTGGCAGGAATGAGGGCACGTCTAACTGGTGGGGTCTGTGAGTTTACGACCCAGCACCGTCTGTCTCCAGGTAGGTTCCTATCTAGACCAAGCAGGTGCCTGTTGGCCAAGAGCAGAACCTGGTCACTTCTCATCCAAGTGCAAGGATGGTCTCCAAAGTCATTCTTCTTTCTCGGTCCCCAGTTTGCCTCAAGTGTCATCCCAAAGGTCCGTATCAGTACCTACCTTACACTTCTTGAAAGCTGATGGATAATCCAGAACATTTTTACTGTTTCCGGGAAAATGATCCTAAAGGAAAGCAAAGCAGGGCCTACAAAAAAGGACAAGATGAAACCAAGGTTTGGAAAGCCACACCCATTCCTAGAAGGTGCTA